AGTTTAAGAAAAATATTACAAATTTAAATAATAAGATACATTAATATTTTAGATTTATAATTAAAATAAATCTCTTTACTCTCTCCTATGTCACGGGCACAAGTTCTTAAATTTTTTCCCTGGCCAAATACAAATTTAAGTTTCTTTCTGGGTTAATATAATTTGTCTCCTTAAATTTGTTTTTATTTTGGTTTTGGTTCTTTAACTTTTAAACCATAAGTTTTGGTCTCTTAAATTTCTTGTCATTAAAAAATTTGTCCTTATAATTTAATAAAAATTTTGACTATTTTGTCCTTTAAGAGCCAAAACTTAGTTTGAAATTTAAGGGATTCAAACCAAAATTAGGACAAATTTAAATGATTAAAAATTATATTAACCCTTTCTTTGTTAACTAAGCTATGGAAAAGGTTCACAATAAAGAGATAAGACTGGTGTTATTCATTAAGCAAGTTATTGAACAAAAGATTGGCAAAAAAAAAAGAGTTATTGAACAAAAAGAAAATTAAAAGAACTTAGATTAAATGATATTTATTGAAGAAGATCTAAAAAAAAATTCAAATATTAAAGTATAAATTTGAAAATATTAACTTGTTCTCAAACAAATATACTACATTCAATTTTTATTTTTATTTTTTTTTATAAAAAGGCTAAATGAAAATTAAAACCGTCCGTCTTTGCATGACCATGTTCTGCGCGTTTTAGAACCAAAATCTATATGCATATAATCAATATATCACCGTTTAATTATTAGTTTTGGTATTTATCTATTTATATCATTATTCATTGAGTTTTTTTTGCCTGATTTATCCATCATCAACATTGATATTAATTAAACACTTTTTAATCAATTTAAAAAATTAAACTCATTTCATATTTCATCATGCTAGTTACCTAAACTCAAATGAAAAAAATAAATAAATATTACCTGTCAAAAAGTTTCAACAGGATATTGCTACCAGCTTGGTTTTGAAGGGGTAGGAATGAGCTTGGCGAGTTGCTGTTTTGAAACGAGATTGGCAACTTGGCATAATTGAAATAAAAAAAGTAGAAAATATCTCCACTTCCTTCCCTCTTTTCTCTAATCGAATAGTAGATTCGGCAATTTCATGTATCATTCTATTCCTCTATACACTACACTTTGTCTTCACCCCCCAAACCAGCGCCATGCATGACAGCTTCATTATTTGCATTTGACAACCATAGAATTAATATCCCAATTCATCTGTATAGTTTTTTCTCCTTCATTCCCAAGTCATAGGCACCGCCATTATCTGAAGTAGTAGAATGACACTCTGTTCAAGTCTAAAATTAGACATAACATAGAGAAATAAGAAAAATTTAGACCAATTGTAAAGTCTGTATCACCAATTGATTAGTGTTGTTATTGGAGATTGTGTAGTCAAGAGGAAAATGCTAGTTTTACAAATTCAGGAGAAGTTAAATATCATTATGGTATCAGAACCTGATATTATACTTTCTTACATGTTTAAAATTTTTTTTTGCCTTTGCCAAACACAGCTTTCTCCTTTAGAATCTTTATAACCACCGCTGCTTGCCTCCATTAAGATGTAGTCATATTTATTTAATATTTTAATAGTTTTCATTTTTAGAATTATTTAGTTTTTTATCTTTTATTTATTATTTTTAGGATATTAGCTATTATTATTACTATTTATTAGTTCCTAGGATTTACAATTAGGGACTTAGTGTAGATTTTGGTTTAACTGAATTACTCATATAACAGTTTTCCACAATTCTCCTTCCCATCTATTTGTTTTTTTTTTTTTTATCGATCTCTTCTCCTTTCTCTTATTGAAGGAGAAAGGCGTGTTTATCAAACACATAAAGAATTTTTAGCAGGTAAGAAAGCATAATATCATGCTTTGATACCACAATGATAATAAACTTCATGAATTCGTAAAACTAGCATGTTCTCCTTAACTACACAGTCTCCATCAACATCACTAATCAACTAGCGACACTCAAAGTACTAAAAACTGGACTGGTAATTGAATCGGTCAAGACAATAGATGAAGGATCAGTGGGTTAGACCAGAGTCAAACCAGGAGTCAAACCAGTGAGAAATAAAAAATAAAAAATAATTTAAAATTTCACTAAGAACTAGATATCAATTTAATATCTTGAATCACTAGTAAAATAATCACATCCTTACAATTTCTTATAATATCATACTACTAAAATCACTAAATATTCAACCCATCAAAATAGATATATGATAACAAAATATTCCTCCCTATAATTATTTAATCACTAAGTCCTAATTATCAACAGCTGTTTAAAAAAATCATCAAAAAAATTTTTTTTTAAAAGGGGGACTTGGGTTAACCCACCAAACCGAGCGGGTTACCCGAGTCGTTACCAGGTCGCACCGAGTCAAAGTGACCCTAATTCATAGGCTCAATCAGACCAATTTTCTGGCCGGTTTGTCGATTTTCGGATCGGTTTTCCATACCATGGCAACGTCATAATTGGACTAAAGTTTTCTTATTCCTTTATGTTGTGTCTAATTTTAGACTTAATAGAGTATTATTTTGCTGTAGTTTTCATTTTTAGGATTATTTAGTTTTATCTTTTATTTATTATTTTCAGGATATTAGTTATTATTATTACTATTTATTAGTTCCTAGGATTTACAGTTAGGGACTTGGGATACATTTTGGATATTGATTGAATTACTCAGATTGCGGTTTCTCTTAATTCTCCCTCCCCATCTATCTGCCTTCTTTAATTACTTAGATTGCGGTTTCTCTTAATTCTCCTTCCCCATCTATCTGCCTTCTTTAATCGATCTCCTCTCCTTTGTCTCTTCTGATATTTATCTCATCCCGTTTGTTATTTTTGTTTTACATCAATATGGTGGAATATGAATAACAATGCAATAATATTTATTTAATATTTTAATAGTTTTCATTTTTAGGATTATTTAATTTTATGTTTAATTTATTATTTTCAGAATATTAGTTATTATTATTACTAATGATTAGTTTATGGAATTTATTGTTAGGATAGGTTTTGGATGCCCATTAAATTGTTCAGAATACGGTTTTTGTTCTCCTTCTTTTCGCGCTTGCCAAACACGCCTTTTTCCTTCAAAACCTTCATAGGGTATGTTTGGATGAAACCAAACCGTGGTTTGGAAAAGTGATTCTGGAGAATAGATTCTGGAAAAAATAGATTCTGTGAAGAATAGATTTTGTAAAAAAGTGATTCTGAGAAGTGAGAGTGTTTGGATAGTTGTTATCAGAAGCGCTTTTTATATATATAAATTACTAAAAAAAAGACATAAGTTAATATGATAATTACAGAAAAAATAGATTTTATGATATATTTTAATTTGAAGGAATAAAATTGTTAATAATATGTTTTTTACCAACATAATTAATAATACATAAGATAATATAATTAATAAATAATTAATGTGTATATATATTTATAAAACATAAGATTAAATATATTTATAAAAAAATATGTTTATAAAAAAATAACAAGATACATATCATATAGGGCCTCACACTCTCCCTTTTTTCTCCAAAAGCAAAAAAAATTTGCTTTTTCCAAAACCATGGTTTTGACCCAAAACCATGGTTATGGTTTTTGGAGGGGGTGTTTGGGTGATCTATTTCCCAAACCATGGTTTTGGTCTCCAAACCATGGTTTGGGGTGTTACCCAAACACACCCATAGTCATGAGGAATTCTTACATTCACTGGTAGTGCCATGTAACTTATGCTCTGACAAATAGAAATCTTCCAAATCACATGGCGGGACCCATACTTATTGTAGCTTTTCTATTAGTATATCCCTTTTTTCTTCTGCACGCGCTCTCTCTTTTGACTCTCAACTCTCCCTCTTTTTTTTTTTTATTTAATTGTCTCTCTCTCCCTAATAAAAGTTTTATCTGTCTATTTTATTTTCGCATGCCCTCACACGTTCTCCCTCCGTCCCTCTCTTTATCTCTTTATTTTTAATTTTATTTAATCTCTCATTTAAATAATAGTGTTGCTTTTGCGAATCAAAAGTTCTAGAATACTTATATAAAAATTTAAATTTTAAAATATTTTGGATACATAATTCATACTACCTCTGGTATTGTTTGTTTGATTTTTATTTTGTTCGTAAATATAAAACCCTAATTCACTTTATTTTTTATATTTATTCATTTTTCTAAGGTAGTTATTATAATAATGATAATTCTAGTCGATATAATTGATTAGTAATGATATTTTAAGAAAGACAATACATATTTATTACAAATAATAACTTAACTAGTTTTTTTAATCTACTCAAATTAGTTAACTAATTCTTATATTAAGGATTGGGGTAATGTTTTACAACCAACCTTTAAATTCTTTCTCAACTTTTTAAAATTCCCTTCTTTTTGATGGGTTAATTCATGTTGACATGTGAAATTATGGGCAGACTTTGATAAAGAGAATCAAACTAAATAAAATATCTAGTTAGGTCTTTCTTTATCTTCAATGACATACAATTGCTTATAATAAGTTGTGTTTATACAAGTATTTTTGCTTTTCTTCATTTTTTTATGAGATTGCTGGTGCATTGATGTTTTAATAATAATAAAAAAAGTAATCCTTCTTGTAGTAAAAAAGTGAATTTTCAAACCTTGTCTTGCAGCTTCATTGATATTTACGAATGATAGCTTATGTTTATAAAAGTATTTTATTTTTTCTTATTTTTTGATTAAATTGCTGAAACAGTTATATTTTTGATGAAAATGGAAACCTTCTTCATTTCAATGTTTTAGTAATGCTACTTTATAATTCCAGTTGAAGCTTAAAACGTAGTGCTGTTACTTAAATTATAGAGTAAATAAAATTAAAAATGAAGAGAGAATGTGAGTGTATGCAAAAATAAGATGTAGAGATAAAACTTAAAGTGAGTAGAAGAAGTTTTATTAGAAAAAGAGAGAAAATTAAATATGAAAAAAAGACGGAAAGTTGAGAGACAGAAAAAAGAGAGCACGTGCAAGAAAAAAAATATATATATGTGTGTGTGTGTGTAAGCCGGCAACAAGTATGGGTCCCACCGTATGATTTGGAGAATTTTTATTTGTCAGAGCAAGTTATGTGGTACTCCAAGTACATGTAAGAATTCCTCCCATAACCATAACCACCCCGTTAACCGCCATCTCTGCATCTAACGGCCACCCGGCCTCCACACGCGCTCTTCATTTATCACAATACACATATTCAGTCTAGCCACCATCGTCCTCCATTCACCCTCCTCCCTGTGTCTCTTGTCTCACCGCCACACCCATCAGAACCGCCGCAAGGAAGGCGGCTAATCCCACTGTTCGGAAAGCCACGCGCCGTTGAAAGCACCTGCGTGTGGATTCACGTACCCCTCCATCACTGTTGTACAGAAGGCCTTTTTTGAAGACTTGGATATTGAATTTACAGGCGGTATTTCCCTTTTCTCTAATCTCATCCCTTCCCCTTTCTCTTGTTCGTTTCATATCACGTTGCTTTTAACTAATGATAAAGAAAAACGAGGGCACTGTCATGGGTAATTTGCTTAGCGTTGTGTCTTTGCTTAAATAACAGGAAGAGAGGGTCACAGTCAATGTAAGATAAGGTTTTTGATGTAGTGTTACTGTTTGTATGATTTATTGCATATAAGTAAACCTGTTATTCCCCATAATTCTGTGTCATACTAGACTTTAAAGAGTGTTCTACGTACGACAGTATCAGGGTCTTAATGAAGAAAGATGGAACTTGAGGAAGCAGAAAATAATCTCCGTGCTATGAGACTGTTGTATAGGCTCTTAGAACATAATAGCCTTGGCCTTCAGAATACAACTTCAGAGGATGTAAGTGTTCTCTTCCTTTACTGAGCTTTTCCCGGAGATTTTTAATTATGCCTCCTTTCAAAGTACATTTCCTCGCGCTTGCTAACTCCTCCATTTACACATACTAGATAGAATGCCAATTGATTATAAATTCTTATTTTCACAATGTGCTTCATTTTATGGGAGAGATTTGATAGGAAAACTCGATCAAAGTGATGTGTTTCCTAACTTTGTTTTCCTCTATGAATCTCTTGGGGCTCATTTATCTGGTTTGTTTGGCCATTACGTCACTACTGTCTGCGCATGATAATTTCTTGGGGTTGATTTCTTTCTATCTTTTACAATAGTGTTTGAGTGCTCTAAAACTAAATTCTGCGTGACAGTTTATGAGAGCTTAAAGTATGCTATGCTATTCTTCTATTAAAGCACAGCTGGATTCTGTATTAAAATTTATTGCTTATTAAAGCACTTTAAGGACCAGCTCCTTCAATATTCTATTCTTTTGTCTTTGGGCAGTTGGTAGAGAGAGCTCAAGAATTACTGAAAAATATGCTGGAAGTAGCATCTGAAAGGGTTTTCGAGACTATTTTAAAGGTTCAGACGGATCATCATCTTTTATTTGCAGAAAAGATCTTTCGCTACTCTTTTCATGTTTTATTTTATTATCCCTTCAAAAAAGGAGGCACATTTTCTTTTTGGTGATAAGGAAACAACTTGCTCTATAGTAATTTCACTTGCACGAACCTGAACATAAAGGCAGGATGCGGGAATACGAATAGCAGTTCTATTGTTTGATTTATTTTTCTCTGTGCTCACTTGACAGATCATAGCAACAGAAACTGGTATCTCCAAGACACCCTTCACTTCTCAACCTGTGGCTGATCTCCAGTTAAGGCCTTTGTTGGCAGCCAACAGTTCTCACTGCTCTCTAAAATATCCAACACGCGGTAGATTTCCTTCGCAAAAGGATGAACAACCCCAATCAAAGTCACCAGCAAAGAAAGCAGGTCCAAGACTATGTAAGCGTAGCATCTCTGATAAAGGAAAAGCAATGAGAAAAGCACTCTTTAATGATGGTGAAGAAAGCAGTATAATGCAGCAGAACTTAGTAAAGGCAGCAAATCTATTTAACAAGAAGCCCATTAATCCTATTAAAGAGAGCAGTCATCATGAACAGAAGTACAGTGTGAGCACTTTTCGCGAGGGTGAACACTCAAAATCTGGTGAGCTTAGAGAAGTCAGTGAAACATCATTACCATGTAGAGTTTCTGAAATTGAAAGCAATCCAAGTACTTCTAGCAGGCTTGAAGCTCAGGATGAGGAGGGAGACATCTCTAGTGACTTGTTTAATGCAATAAAAAGAATTGAATCTCGTATATTGGCTTTGCAGCTTTACTCAAGTTTAGTATATTCCAAAAAGAATGGTGCAGCTGACAAGATTATGCATAAAATAACAAATTCAGAGAGCCATAAAAGACAGAAAAATGAAGGAATACCAGGAAACCGGCCTTGTTATCGAAGGTTGCTGTTAGAAGGAAATGGATTAATGAGTCAGCAGGCGCATAAACTAGCTAGTAAGTGTGAAGATTCAACCACAGCAAATGTCGAGCCCATCTTCTCCAGAAACAAGTCACTGAGTAAGGTAGAAAATCAGATTTTTGACCCAGAAAAGGAGAACAGCATCTCAGCATGGAGAAGCCGCCAAAAAGGTGAGGCATGCAGAGCTACACTGTTGGCTTCAAGAGGAGAGAAGTTGCTAAGCCAGAATGGACGTCGACCTCCAGTGCAGAGCATGGACATAGTAGACAGATTTCAGTCATTAAATTGGTCAGTGAGTGGGAATGACCACTTGGTGAATCATGCTAATGAGTGTATACAGGGGATTAGGATTCCTCTGAATTCCATAACAGCAGGTTCACCAAATAAAGACAAGCCAACGAGAAGAAACCCAGTGGCTCAGTCAGAGACTCACAGGAGAGAGAAACAGCCCCTTCATCCTATGGTACCAAGACGAGCTCTACCTCACTGGAGATCCAGTGAGTCTAAAATGCCCGCTCATGGTTACAGAGACAGAAAAGTTTCAGAGAATAGAGGGGCTCACAAGATGAGGGCTTCATCACCACATCATCCGGAATCATCAGAAGAGTTCAGTTCAAGCTCCTGCTCTCGTGCTCGCTTGACATCTAATCAAAGCAGTGCCATATATAGTAGTGAATCTGAGGACATTGGTGATTCGCCAGGAGATATGGTCAGCAAGACATATGAGGATAGCTCAAGAGAGAATAGTGATTCAGATTATCAAAATGATGCTGGCTCTTCACATAGAACGGAAAGTTCCAGTTCTGGCAGATCTTGGCATAGGAGAGGACCTGAGAAAACAATTGGACGCTTGAGGAGGCTGAAAAATAAGCTTAGACTTATCTTTCACCATCACCACCATCTTCACCATCATCACCATCACGATGAAGATGATAATAAAACAAGTAAGGCGGATCACAATCATTCTATATGGCAGAGGATCTTCCATGGCAAAAACAAGCACAAGTTGCTAGCAAGAGGAAAATCTGAGAAGACAAGGGGAGGCACCATTGTTAAAGTGTCACGTGGAAAACAGGTTGGGCAGTTTCATGGACTTGTGGAGGGGATTCTGAGACACGTCAGACATTCTAAGAAACGAAAGCCTTCTAAGTTTGTTAGGATCAAAGGGTCAAGGAATCCCAAACTTGGCAATAGGAAGAAGTTGCATTGGTGGCAGATGCTTCGACATCACCGGGGGGTGAGGGTGAACAAGGGAGGCCGTCTCAGAGTGGGGTTCAAAAGCCAAAAATGGCTCAAGAACTAAGCAAAAGCTAGTGAAAAGCATGCAGCACGATTTCCATGGTTAATCCAGAAAATTTGACGAGATGGCATGCAAAAAGTTCCACTTCTGGTGTAATAGAATGTTTCTGCTTGCCTAATCTTAATTATTATTCTTCATTGCTTCATTATCTCTTGCCCATTTTTGCAATCAAACTCGGCTTTTTAGTTCACCTGATCATTCTATGCGAAGAATATGATTCAGAAAGAGACAGCAAATATCAATAATAGTCATTTCTCTTTATTTGTGAACAGGGGCCGAATTCTGACTTCCCCATCTTTAAGCAGGGGAAGCAGCAACCCTCAAAATGTACTCCACAATCCACAATAGGAAACTAATTTTCGACAAACTTTTCCTGTGTTAAATTTGTCTATATTGGCAGCAAGCATTCGCTTTCTGTTCATGCTTACAATTATAACCCCAGTATTAGACCTACTCATCGTATGAGATCGATTACAAAACATCTAAAATGCTTTCTTTTTAGTGTAGCTGTTAAGTAAACTGGTACTACAGTAAAGAATTTGATTTTTCTATTTGATAAATTTTCCCTGGTTAAATTTATGTTAAAAATTCTTATTAGAGTTTGTAATAAAATACTAAAACGATCAATCAAAGATTAATAAGTTGTTTGTTAGCTAATGAAATGAAACAAAAAAAAAATTTCGTCTTCTTTTGTTAAAGTAAGAAATATCGCCTTTTTCATAAGAAATATCATCTTTCTTTTACTTAAAAAGTAAAAAAAAGTGACATAAATTAAAAACAACGACAACAAAATGATAACTATTGTAAAAAATTACGGTCATAGATTTGTTCTCCGTCACTCGACCAAAAGAGACATGAATTTTTCCTTCAAATTTGATAACAAAACCTTACAATACCTAACAATGACAAACTTCTCTCTTTTGCTTTTTGTTAAAATTTTCTTTCGATCTACTTGGGCCAAGACCGGCCCACAGTGAGCACGCTCTGCTGGTGCCTTCGTTTTGTTACCGTTATCGACGGATGGCTTCTTGTTCCCTTGCGAAGTTTCCATTATAAAATGGAAGCGTCTCGGGACTGAACTAACCAACTCACATACACAAACGATGATCGCTTTCGGCGATATGCTCGAGGGATGTCAAGGACTTCACTGTCTTCCTACATCAGACCCTGTTTGATTTTTATTTTGATCCTAAATATAAGACCTCAATCCACTTTGTCTCTCATATTTACTCAATTTTTTCCAAGACAATTTACTAATAATTATAGTTCTAGTTAATACACTTGATTAGTAGGATATTTTAGAAAGACAACACCTATTTAGGACAAATAACTAACTCAACTTACTTCCTTAATCTCCTCAAATTAGTCAACTGGCTCTTATAATTAGGAGCGAAGGTAGTAGTTTGTTAAATATCTTTGTTTTCGGCCCACTCTTTTGAGAATCATTAGATTTTCTACTCGCTCTCGATCCCTCTGTGTTACGGTGAACCAACTGGATTTATACAATCGTAACGTTGTATACAAATACAAGAGATTAAAATCAACTGGACTATCACCATTGAAAGGCTTTTGATTCACCTATGAACTCCTCCAGAGTCCTCCATATAGTTGTATGAAAATAAATCAAATGAATTTGGCGTCCCTCAAATAGCATTATCATCCAAAAAGATATTTGCCCAATAAGAAATTTTGGTCGCATAGGTGAGATTTGTGCCTGCAGACATTATCGAAATAGCCTTAGATTAAAAATAAAATTAAAAAAAAACCCAAAATTTTGTGCCCATGTTATAAAAGGTTGACACGCGAATGGATGGCAAGCAAAAAAGTAACTACCTCTTATCCTATAATATATGAGTTAAACAAAAAGTTCACTTTCATTTCAAGTTACTTTGCTTTCCAAATTTATAATATTTTGTCAAGACTAAAGCATATATTTGATCCTTTAACTTTGAATAAAGTTTCAATTTCGTCTCTTAACTTTAAAAAGTATACTTTTAGTTCTTTAACCCTAAAATTTTTTTTAAAAATGATAACATTAAGATATTAAATATTGATAAAATATTCTCAAATACTAACAAATTTAGTTTAATTTTTACAACATTCATGATTGTTATGAAAAATCATCATTAAAGCCTAATACTTTTATGGTTAAAGAACCTAGTGTATGCTTTTTAAAGTTAAGGGACAAAATAAACTTTGTATAAAGTTAAAGGACCAAATGTATACTTTAGTCTTTTGTCAAAATATTTTTATTGATTACAGATATTAAAAGCTTATAATTAAGAGAGAGTTTTAATGTACATGATTAAAGAGGGTGACTGACAATGCCTCTGTTGCTATTACTCAATTAAACTAGGACCAACTACAAATGCAATATAGTGGCAACCTAAGCTACTCTCCCAAGCGTAATTTATGGGTTTTCAATATGAATTTAAGTGACAAAAAGCAATGCAAAAATCCTAAAATCTATATGAAAGTGAAATTAAACTAAATGTACATGCAAACGTAATTTTGGGGGGTATTTTTAGAAGGAAAATTAAAACGCTAAATAATAAATTAAGGAAAACGCAAAGAAAATTAAGAACACACAAAATGAGAGGTTTCTTCAAGTATAGTCAAGGGACACTCAAATTTACATCGAGTTAACTTTCATAGGCCAAATCAATAAATTGGACCAAAGAGAGGTGACGAGAGAATGGAAATAATAAGTTTAATTACTTATTTGAAATATGAAAAGCCAACAAGTTCAAAATACTTAAACCATTAGAAAACTCAAAATGGTATAAGGGCAGTTGATTAAACTTGTCAAAACAGGTAAAATTAATTCAAATAATTCTAAAAATTATGTTCATAATTATCTAATTAAACAATTAAATAAATTACCAACTCAATCAAACAATCAAGAGGTAAAGAACCCAAATTTGCAAGTCAAATCATATTGACAATTAAATCCATAATGAGAACTCAATTATAAATTTAATTAACAATGTAAATGTTCATAAACATGAATTCCAGCAAAATTAAGCAAAAACAAACCCAAATATCAATCTAATTCAAAGACAATCTATAACTAAATTGTCTCATAAAAATACAACTCAAAATTATTTAAAACTAAATAATCTCAAGCTTTTGAGCTAAAACGACAAATGGAATCACTCTCTTATGATCTTCAAGCATTAGCCCAAGACTTTAACTTTCTCCATGCTTCTCTCAAATTGTCTCCCAAGCAAGCTCAAGCTCCCATGAATGGTGTGAAATTGATGGAATAATGAAGGATGAGTGATAAGTGAATAAATAGAATTAAGATTAATATGTAGAGATGAAGGTGATGTCTCTTCTCATGAGATAATGCTTCTTTTATAGTAGGAGCAAGAATGGACTTTTAGGTGTAAAGGTTAAATCCATTTAAACTTAATCATTAGATTGTACTTGAACTCCAAAAAATAATTCTACACCATTGGATGTTCTCTTTTGCTTTTTCTTGACCTACAAGAATTTAAGTACATCTATTAATATAGATTATATTCAAATATAATATAATCTATATCAAAATTAAAGACTAGATATGGATTGAAAATAAGGTAAGAAGTTGAAAAACTTTTTAAAAATCAACTTTTCAAAAATATGAGAATTGACTTCAAAAAAATAGAAAATATTAAATTCAAGTCAAGAATAAAACATCACACAATATTCATATTTTCAATCTAAAATTCTAATTTTTATGAAAAATCCTAAAATCAATCAATTAATGCAATAACACATAAAAAAAACCACTTAAGGACAAATTTATCATTTAAACCTTGAACAAGAGTAGAAAGTTCTTTTTTCACTAGCTTTATAGATATTGATAAAATGCATATAAATGTATGGGCGAAAGGACAAAAATACCCATGAACAATTACCATATGTGCAGCTAGCACCATAAACAAACTGTGAGTCCAAATATGCTCATGATGATTTAAAAGGGTTTTGTTTTACCACAGCCATTAGACTCAGAAAACGTCCGTGGATTTTGAGTTGTGGGTCCTATTTTCCTATCCATATGTCATCTAGGCTGGCTTGTAACATTGTGTGGTTGAAAGGTTTGACCAAAATGAAAGGGTAATGTGGCAAAGCTGAGTGTACCCATGGCAGGAAGTCATATTATTTTTATTTGACCAGAAGGCATCCACGGGAGGGTTTAGCTTTACCTGCAATGTGTCCCTCCAGCTCGCGGCTTGTGAACTGCACAAATCTATGTTTGATATGAAGTTCACATCGGTCGTCGGCACCTTATGGTACAGTTGCGCCTTGATCTCTGTCGGTTGTTCGTGGAACGCCTTGATGGAGGAGATTGTGCGGTCGAGGACTTCCAAGGGGATGCCGTGGTTGATGATCTGAAAGAAGCCGACTGTGGAGGCGATGGAGAGTATTTGGTCCACAACAGTAGAGCGGTGATCAGGGGAGTCGTTGTTGACAATGTCGCTGAGGTTGATGGTTGGGATTTAGGACTCGCTTCCAGGATTCGTCGAACTCCTTGACCACTTTGGCTCGATCATAAGGCTGAGAAGAATGGCCGCCAGTGGCAGTGATCGGAGATGATGCCGTTGCCATGGAAATTGAAGAAGGTGAAGATACAAGCTTCGCAAAAATTGAAGGTAGGTTGACAATGTCAATGCGGTTTTGGACCGTTGAAGTGATGAACTTGAACAGTGAATTTGTGTATTCAATTAAGAAAAGACAATGAGTTGATTGTATTTTTTTAATAATTAAGAGTATTTTAAGAGTAATTTTTATTGAGTTGGGAGCATAAAAATAATACGACTTCCGTGCCACGCGTACACTCAACTTTGCCACCTTACCCTTTCATTTTGGTCAAACCTTTCAACCACACAGTGTTACAAGCCGGCTTGGATGACACATAGATGGGAAAATGGGACCCACAGCTCAAAATCGACAGACGTTTTCTAGGTCTAATGACTGTGATAAAACAAGGCCCTTTTGAAATCATCATGAGCATATTTAGACCCACGGTTTGTTTATGGTGCCATCTATACATATGGTAATTGTTCATGGGTATTTATGCCCTTTCGCCCTAAATGTATTACCTCAATCATCAATCATCATCATATCAATATATCAATAAGCTGTCTGTTCATTCCAAACGGCTTATTTTACTGTTCATGGCTACATGTAGATGTATTGCCTTAATCAACACTAGTTGGCCTTTTTTTTGGG